GAAGATCACACTGGCAGCAGTATAGAAGCTAGTCCAGGTAAGAGTTGACAGCGCTTGTTCTTGCGGGGGGGAAACAGTGGTGTTCCTGGAGAGAAGGGGGGAGCTTAAAGGAGTTATAGAAAGTAGGAACTGTCAGAACTTACTGTTTGTTGGATGTGAAGGAGGAGGAAAAGGCTTTTGATTTGGGCAAGTGGTTGGATAGAACTGCCTTTTAGGGAGATAGGAATTGCTAGAAGAGGAATACATCTGAGTGTGGATGAGAAAAGAGGATATCGTATATTCTGTTTTGGAGTTACTGAGTTGCAGGTGCCTGTAACACATCCAAGTGGAATAAACCTTTATCTCTATGGGTCTACGGCTCAGAAGTGAAGTCCAGGCTGGAGATATTTGGCCATCACCTGGATAAATATGATAAAGAAGCCGTGGGCGTGGTTGAGATCACTTGGGGAGAGAGCGTGGTGTGGGAGAAGGACATGGCCCAGGAACACGCTGACCGTTAACCCCAGTTTGCCTGGAATAGTCCTGGTTAACAACCACCACCTGGGTATAATTATTAATTGCATCCCTTTCACTCCCAAAGTGAGCCAGTTTGGACAATAGATATATAGTCATTCTATTTAAGGCAGAGCCAGAGGAATGCCAACGTTTAAGGCTTGAGTGAAGCAAAGCCACGAAAGGAGCCATAAGGAAGTAAACCAGGAGAAAGCAATGCCGCTGAAGCCAAGGGAAGACAATGTCTCAAAAAATTTTACATCAGGCATTGCATAGAGTTCGCTCTTGGATTCCATAGTGATTGCATTGCAGGATAGCCAAAACCTCAGACAGGACTGAGGTGGAGCAAAGATTAGTTCAGGAATGCAAGCAGAGGTGGGGACCATGCTGATCAGTTCTGAAGTGAGATTAGTGCCACTGGTACCAAAAAAAATACATAGAGCTTAGCCACTAAAACTACAAAATCATTTTCTCATCTTGGCCAGTATATTGGGGAGACTGTAGGAATGTTAACATCAACTACCTGGAATAATATTAATTACTTTTAGCTCCTCACTCAAGCCGTGTGGTTTCTTGTTTCCAGAATTCTGAGTTTTCCCCAGCCTGGAAATCTCTGTCCCTCTACCTTCCTCTTTACTCCCAAGATAAGGTTCTGGCGTCACCTTTTCGGGGTCCTTTCTTCCTCTAAGATTGGGTTCCCTCCTCTAGCCCATCTCTGTCCCCACAGCTCTACTAAGGCTCCTGCCATTTTGCAGTGAAATTTACTTGTCTCTCTCCTTCACCAGAGTGTAAACCCTTCTTAGACTTTACATTTCTTAAAGTCAGGGAGTGGGTCTTATTCTTATTTATTTTTACATCCTTGGCCACTATACAGGATTTTGTACATAGTAGAAATTCAATAAATATTGAATTGAATTAAAAATGTCGGAGATGTCAGAATTATTTTCTTTTTATCGAAGTAAGATTTACATACAGTGAAATGCATGGATTGTAAATGTGTAATTATTGAGTTTTGATAAATGTATTTCAATGTAACTACTATTCTAATAAATAGACCATTTCTATCATCCCAGAAGTTTTCCTCATGCCCCTTGCCCGTCAATCCCTACTCCCTATCACAGGCAGTTACCATTTTGATTTCTGTTCTTGCAGATTAGTTTTTGCCTGTTCTAGAACTTCACAAAAATGGAATCATACGTTATGAGCTCTTTTGTGTCCAGCTTATTTCGTTTAGCATTATGTCTGTGAAAATGATCCATTTTGATGTATGTATCAGTCCATTCCATTTTACTGTTGAGTGCTATGTCACTGAATGGCTTTGCACAATTTGCTTATACATTCTCCTGTTGATGGACATTTGGGTACTTTCCAGTTGGGGCTGTTATAAATAAAGTTGTTATGAATAATCATGTAGAAATCTTTTTGTGGACATATGTTTTCATTCTTCTTAGGAAATACCTAGAAGATTTGTTGGGTCATAGGATATGTGTTGTGTGTGTGTGTGTGTGTGTGTGTGTGTGTGTGTGTAAATAAGAAGCTGTCAAACTGTTTTCTAAAGTGGTTGTACCATTTTTACAGTTCTGCCAGCAACACATGAGCATTCTAGCTGCTCCACTTCTTTACCATCATTTGGATTGTCAGTCTTTTATAACTTTAGCTGTTCTAGTAGGTGAGGAATGGTATATTTTGTGGTTTTATCTCCATTTTCTTGATGAGTAAACGATGTCGAGCAGTTTTTTGTGAGCTTATTGGCCATTCATATATGGTCTTTTATGATGTATTTAAGTATCTTGCCCATTTAAAAATATGGTTATTTGTCTTTTTTGCAATATATTTACAGTACCTTATATAGTCTGGATACAAGTCCTTTGTCAGATACATGTATTTCAAATATCTTTTCCCAGTCTGTGTCTCGCCTGTTTATTTTCTTAATAGTGTCTTTTGATGAGAAGTTTTAAATTTTGATAAAGTCCAATCTATCTTTTTACGTTTAGTGCTTTTCATGTCTTCTTTATGAAATCAGTGCTTTCTCTAGGGTCATATTCTGTGTTTTCTTCTAGAAGCTTTATAGTGTTAGATTTTATGTTTAGGTCTGTGATCCATCATGATAAAATTGGAGTTGGAGACATGTTTAATAATTTATATAGAAAGAACAGTGGAGTCCTACTCCATTTGATTGACCTTATGAAAAAAAATAGGCTATTCTCTTGTAAAGAGACTGTGATCATCATTTTGAATAGTGTGTGGGCCTTATATTGATAAAACATAATTTATCCACTGTTAAAGAACATTAATATGCCTGGACAGATGAGCAACAGACTGGGAGCACAATCACTGTGTTTTTTCCTAAACCTTTGTATTAGTTAAGACTCACTGAATTCACTTTGATTTTCATGTCTCAGTTTTTGAGTAAAATGTGATGGTACCATCAGCTTAACTTCATACCATTGGAATGAGCATAGACAATGATCATAAAGCCTTTCTGAAATATCAAATTATATTATGAATCTGCATCAGGTAACAATGATGATAAATTGTGAACTGTATGACAGTTGCTTATTAAGTTACAGACTCTGTCCATAAATGAAAATAACAGCTTGGTGCTGAATATCTCTTAGGACTCCAATGTAGAAAAAACTGACATCTTTTAAACCAACATAACTGTGTAAACTTTCCATGACACTGTTACATAATGAACAGTTTGAACCTATAGTCCCTTCTAACAGAATAAAGATTGCTGTAGTGAGGTATGCTCACCATCTTTACTGTCACAGTGAACTGAGAAGGAGAACAATTAGTGATGTTTGGAAAGGGCCTTATAAAAATACACCCATCAAATGGCACATTGTTGCTGAGTGAAGGGCCACTCATTAATAAAACTCCTACCCCAGCATCAAAGCCCTTATACAGTGTAAAAAAGTCTCGTTAGCTCAGAATCCATTTTGGAACTTGTAAAAATTCAGACCTGTTATATGTGATTCTTTTTCAGTCGAAAGTTCATTGTTCAAAATAGAAGGCAGAATTCAGAATGACTGTATTAAACAATTGTGGGAGTATAAGCCATTTTGAGATTAATTTTACTCTTTTTGGATATTTAGTTTTTGATATGTAGTGTACAAGGCATAAGCCTACATTTATTTTTAAATGTAATTTACTGTTTAGGCATTTTACCAGTTAAAACACCCCTCTCTTTTCCCTCCCACACTTCCTTCACCCCCAAACCCAAAGTCCCAGAGTGCATGTGACCACACAGACTCACCTGTACCCAGAGGGAAAGCAAATTAACATGGGTAGGAGGCTAACCTGCCCTGAAATAATGAGGGTTTCCATGTAAAAATAAAGATAAAGCTTGAATAAGATGCAAATGCATATGAAAAAGTAAAACCACACACTAATTTAAAAAACATCTCCTGACATTTGTGTTTTCCTCATTTTTAATCAGCATTTTACTTGGTATAGTTTTTATTATTCAACATAAATCCCTTAGAGTCAGGAAATGCTTCTTGCTTGACAGATCACATAATATAAAACATTTCAAGGCCAGCGCAATGGTTCTAAATGTTTAATGATTTTGCTTTGGTGAGAAGGTAGGCACTTAAAGATGGGGGGGGGTCTTTGTCACAGGGGATGCTGAACACTCCATTTCTGTGGTCACATCTTCATAAAGACACCACCAGTGGCATGTCACAAGAGAAAGGGTTTTTTTTTTTTTGGGCCTCTCACTGCCGTGGCCTCGGAGCACAGGCTCCGGACGCGCAGGCTCAGCAGCCATGGCTCATGGGCCCAGCCGCTCCGAGGCACGTGGGATCTTCCTGGACCGGGGCACGAACCCGCATCCCCTGCATCGGCAGGCGGACTTTCAACAACTGCGCCACCAGGGAAGCCCGAGAAAGGGCTTTTACAGTGTACCTTTCAGTCAGAAAACACACAGATTTTTCATGCATTTTAGTGCCACATGGAAAAAATTTTACAGCAGCTCATAATTATCACGTCTGTGTATACATCATGCTCTCTTGGTTATATCTATTAAATGGAGAGAGGGTAAGCAAATTATCTACCTGAGGAAGAAATCCCCCCAGGAATTGCATCCCATACTCAGGTAAATTTCACTTATTCCTGATTTAGTTTTCATACCATCTATCTGGGAACTATATTTCCAGTATCTGATTATCAATGCTGTGCTGTTTTTTACACTTAACCTGTATGTGTATATGTGTGTGTGTGTGTCGGTGTGTATTTGGTAGGCGGAGGAGGGTTGTTTAATTAGGGGAAGAGCTTCTTTTTACTTCCACGTGTCAATTGATTGAAACCTTCTGATTATTTTCTGTATTAGGTTTCACAAAAATAGTACTGAATTCAAAGGTAAATTCGGAATCTTAAGTATAGTACTTCAACCATTAACACGCACATGTACACGAAGGGCCCTGAACAGGAATAAGTTATCTTCAGAAGAGTGGGTTGTGCTTGTGATCTGCCTCACAACTGTATTGCATGTGAAATTCCCTACGATGGGCGTGGTAAAAGAAAGAGGTATATAGGGAAAACCAGAGATGCCAAAGCTCCAGATGCATGGTCTTTGATGTGAGAAATTTCCCATCCCCAGTGACGTCATTCTTCCCACTACATGTGGCTTAGCAAGCAGGGCTGGGGTGGTGAGTGGTACCCCGCAAGATAGTGAAAATCAGCCTCATGAAATCTTGATATCAGAGTTGAGACCCAGTAACCGTGGAAATTTGTGCTTTTTGTTTGTTTGTTTGTTTGTTTTTGCTGTACTCGGCCCTCTCACTGTTGTGGCCTCTCCTGTTGCGGAGCACAGGCTGCGGACGCGCAGGCTCAGCGGACATGGCTCACGGGCCCAGCCGCTCCGCGGCATGTGGGATCTTCCCGGACCGGGGCACGAACCCGTGTTCCCTGCATCGGCAGGCGGACTCTCAACCACTGTGCCACCAGGGAAGCCCGAAATTTGTGCTTTTTCTTCTCAAAATTTGGAACTGGAATATTTAAGTAAATTGTAATAGATTCTTACAGTGGAATATCAGCATTTATTTAAATAAGGTTTTTGGAGGGTTTTTAAATAATGGAATCAAGAGCTGGTGTTCTAGAGTCAGACAAATCTTTTTTCAAACCTGAGCTTTGTCACTTGCAACTTGTGTAGCTTTGGGAACATTATTTAATCTCTCGGAGCATCAGTGTCTTTCTCTATAATCAGAATATTTAACTAATATGATTTTTGTATGGATTAAAAGAGATGTTGTATATAGAATTCTTAGCGGAGAGACTGGCACACAACAAACTTATATATTATATATAATGTATAAGGTATTATAGATTATCATTATCTTATAGCATTAATATAGCAGGAGATAAACTTACATACCCATTATCATCTCATTATGTAGACCCATCAGAAAACATGCCGAAGAAAACATGTACCATCACTCTGTGTCTTCCCAGTTCCACTTTGTGTATAATTAATTGTACTTTGTTTTCTGTCCTCAGATACTTGTGCGGTTGTTTGCTGTCTGTGTATAAGAAATCCCTCTTCACTTAAACTTCACTTGCAGTCTAACCCTAAGACATGGCGTTCTTTGTTTCTGAGCCTCTCCCCTGGTTGGTTGCAGTGGTTTCCTAGTGGCCGAGAGCAATGATCAAATCTGCCCCTGCATCCTCTTTATTACTGTCAAGATGATCTTTCTTATGTTACTCCTCTGGTACTGCATTTTAGCTCTAGAACTGGATTTCAAGTTGTGTTGCATGAAGCTGCTTTTGGAGAGTCTCCTCCCCATGCTGCATCCTTGCTTTTTTGGTGCAGCACCACTTCATGTCATGTATTTTAGAGTTCCATGGAGCAGTTTTTGGGAAAAAATAGATCACTGCTAAAACAAATTTAAGAACCACTCTTCTACAGGCTAGCATACAATTTCTTTAGGCGTAGTGTCCGCATGTGTTCTGATCCCTGCTTTCAGTCTTCTCTTTATTTCTTCCACCTCCTAACTTTCTGCTTTAGCAACTTCGAATGCCTTAAGATATTCCCCAGATGTGCCATGATTATTCTGCCCTTTGTACCTTTGCACGCATATGTAGCTCTTCTAGAATGTCATGCCTCTGCCTCCCTTCCCACCGCTCCAGTTGTGTCTGCCATACAACAAATCTAAGCTCAGTGCGCCCTTCTCTGTTTAATATTCCCAATTCTCCCAACCAGATTTCCATGCTTATATTTATTAGGATCACGAGTTGTGAGCAGCAGAGACTGAGGCCACCCCAAGCCAAGATGGTAAAAAGAGAGCTAGGAATCTCATGGGAATCCAAGAAAAGAAACCCTAGCATGGCTGGGCTACCCTGAAAGCCAAGGAGTTTTGGGGACATCAACAGTAGGCTGGTGGCAGATCTTCGGTGAAATATCCTATTATCACAGCAATTCAGCTATCCTTTCTGGTCTACGTTTCTTTCTAGCAACTAACTTCCTCACCCTTGACTCTATATACCTGGGTTCAAATCCTTGTTCTACCACGTGTCGGCTAGGTAATCTTAGACAAATTACAAAACTTCTTTGTGCATCATATGTACAAGGAAAGCACAGATTATTTTAAGGATGAAATGCTCTCCACTGTAATCACCAATTCAAGATGCACATTTTCATCCACATTTTGATGCCTCTGAAATCAGGATGCATCTTACAATGACTGTCGGCCAGACAGGAGTCAAGTCATGAGGTAGTTATTGCCTGCTCATGAGCAAATGTGGTTTTTATTCCTGGCCGGACAACTGCAACCTCTCCATGTTTGACTTGGGAAACTATTTATGAACCATATGAGGCAAGTCTATGAACGCTGGCTGTTGGCTGAAAACATTCTACTGGCATTCATTGATAAGACATCAGTAAAAAACACTCCAGTATCCAAATTTGCAGAGTGTTAATGGCTTGGAAGAAATCCTGAAAACAATGGTGGAGCATTCTTCTAAGAACTGTTGCCCAGGGTCCTTGATGGTCAGAGCATTATGTTATGTAGAAAAACACTAGCATTGATGATGGCATCAAAAAGTGATTCAGGGGCTTCCCTGGTGGCTCAGTGGTTGAGAGTCCGCCTGCCGATGTGGGGGACACGGGTTCATGCCCCGGTCCGGGAAGATCCCGCATGCCACGGAGCAGCTGGGCCCGTGAGCCATGGCCGCTGAGCCTGCGCGTCTGTCTGGAGCCTGTGCTCTGCAACGGGAGAGGCCACAGCAGTAAGAGGCCCGCATACCGCAAAAAAACAAAACAAAACAAAAACAGTGATTCAGAAGAATTTGTGTGGAATCTGTGAGGAAGTTTCAGGAACCCTAAGCAATTTATTTTGCTTCTATTTTCCTTTTCATGTGTGCACAAGAATCAAATATGATAAAATCTGTGTGTAAACCATCATTAACAACCCTTTCAATAAGTGTAAGTCTAGGTGATAAGAAAATTAGTGTCATGTATTAATTAGCAGTATTTTTGTCTTTCATAATAGTTCATAAAATAAAAGTGTATCATACAGGTAATGACATCTTAGATTTGATGAAATGTGGTTTGTGTTATCATTACCTAATAGCATTTGTTTGCTCATAATTTTTACTCACTTGTGGTGAGTAAAAATTTGCCTTTTTCTTCATGACTTTGTAGCTCTAGTTCACAAAATAACTGCCTTATTCTCTCCATAATAACCAGACTTGCTCATTCTTTTTTTCTAACCTGTCTTTTTTTTTTTTTTCCTCACCCAGGACATCGCTTAGGCTATGGCTGGGTTTAGGTCCTGAGCTAACCCCTAATCCAGTCAACCATGGGGGGAGAGTCATGCGGTCCAGAACACAGCTGCTAGGCCTTCCCCAGGAATTTGTTGTCATCTTTGTATCCCCAGCACTTAGCGCAGTACTAATACATGTTTTTTGAATGAACGTATAAACCACAATGATCTTGTAAGAGAGAGAAGTCCGTGACTCACTTATCACATAGAGTTCGACAATAAATTGTACAGTTTTTAAAAGTTTTTTAAAAAATCACAATAGTATCTCGAACTTACTTGCTATTATAAATATTTGATTTCAGTTTTCTACAAATGTAGTATTTGCTATCTTTCATGGATTAAGTTTTTCTAGTACCTACACACTCTTCCGACTTGGGAACATTTTCAGTTATCATTTCTATGACCTAATTAATTAACTGGATAACATACTGCTTGATATCTATATGATATAACAGCATAATATAATCAATATCCATTCCTTGGGTTGGCCAGATGTAGCTATAAATGTTAGTGATGTCTTATGAACACATTTCTCCATGAAAACATTTTTCCTTCTCCTCCTGTTTCTTGCAAAATTGGATAGAAGAGAATGGAAGAGATGAGTAACGCCTGTCTAACTTTACTGATGAATTGTGGATTCTTTCTTTCACTCTGAAGGTCCATAACATTGGGTAAATCCTGTAAACTTCATGTGTTCAAGTCTCCTTATGTGACTCACTTATTCCCAAAATAAGTGTCCTTAGTATGACTGACCAGTTAGGTATATTTTACCATTCTTTAAGGTTTCGTTAAAGCTTTGTGGGCAAAACTTCAATCTGTTGTTATCATATCATTTAATGAACAGGCATACAATGAATGTTTAGATTATGTTAGGTCCTTTCCCTCTTTCTCCACTGCCACCGAATCCAAGGTATCCCTGCTCCTTGCTTGGATTAACATATTCATCTCTAAGGCAACCCTCTGACTCCAGCCTCTTGCTGCAATCCACAAGGCTGGATGAATCTTCTAGGAAGAGATTATTTCATCAGGTAACTCCTTTGCTCTAAAACTTCATTTTCCTTGGGATCAAGCCCAAATCCTCATCAAGGCATTAAAGTCCCTCCGTGATTTTGATAACTGTGATTTTACAAAAGAAATCTCCTTTTCCAGTCATGCTAGTCCTGTAAATCAAACGTGATTGTGATGTGCCAATTGCCTATTTCCACCCTCTGGTGTTTCCTTGTGCCATGTTCTAAGGGTACATTGTCTTTTTCTTTTTGTCTCTTATGAATTCTATTTATTCTAGAATAGGGTTTTTCTTCTTCTTGTCATAATTAATACTCTCTATTTTATAGCAGCATATACTTTATACTATGTGTCAACATACATAATTTCCTTTCACTGCTAATTCTCCCCACAGTAGCCAGTGATCTTTTAACAATTTTAAACAGTTTTGTTATTTTTATGTTTTTCTTCCCAGACTTTTACTCAGCTTGAGCCCTCATCTTACTCAATACAAATGGCTCCTATTGACTTATGGGTTAATAAAATCCAAATACATCTTCAAAAGGGAAATGTTTTTCTAATATTGATATTATTTATGATATATACCCTAATCCATATACAATATTGGTATAAAAGATTGAGATTCAAACGAATGTGATGTTTAGGCCCAGATGACGTTTTCAATCAAGGGTTTTTTTATTTTTTATATTTTTACTTTTGGCCGTGTTGGGTCTTCGTCTCTGTGCGAGGGCTTTCTCTAGTTGCGGCAAGCAGGGTCCACTC